CTCTTGGGAGTGTTCCCTCCTCTGGCTGTTACTTTGTTGTTAATGATGACCACTGCCCATCATCCCTTCTCGTGATGAGTCCTGCCCAAAAGCCTGCTTATTTTTCTGAACAGTCAATATGATGCCACTAACCAGCACACGTTCTCGAATCCGTTCAATCCCCTTCCTGTCTCCCAGTGTCATTCCAAGCGTGCACCTCAGGCACTCCAATGAAGAACATTGCTTTGCGGAGCTTTGCACCGTGCAATGCGAGGCATTACCTGGATGTGCAGAATGGCGTCATCGAGGTCACGGTAAATGGATGGGACCAAATATTAAACAAGGAATGCTCAGACGTCATGGCAGTAAGCTGCACGGCAATTTCGAAGAATAAGAAGAAGAATAATAAGAAGAAAAAACTCCAGCACCACATTGGTGCAGTATTTGCTTCCACGTGCACCGTGTCCTGACTTTTAGACACCAGCCGCAATAACACTCGGGGCTGTTATTTACGTGCATGCCAACAGAGAGCATCATGGGTGTTGTGGATGTCTCACATAATTACTTGCAGCTGACTGTCAACTTCGTATGAACGTGCATTACGCGTTGCTTTGTTTGGGTTTTACACCCATTTTTTTCCAGTTCGTAGAGATGTCCCATTGACCAAAGTTAAACATCAACTCAAACGATATATTTTGACTTTCGAATTTCATCGGCTAATGCTCATATTGCCAGATTTAATTATGGAATTTACTTCCAAACGTTTCCACATAACGTTGCTCGCGCATGATCCAGAGCCCAATACAGCCTCACGTCCTTCTTCCACTTCACCTCGGCCTGTGTATACGGGGGGTGGCGAGGGTCTGCTCCGAATCTCTCGCACTCTTTGCGACATCCTTCTGCCTTCGACCAACGCTCGCCATATTCTCCCAGATCTTGACTCTCCGTCTCATCTCTGGTCTGCCGCTCGCTCTGTCTCTTGCCTACGCAATTCTAATCCAGGAGGTTGGGTTCTACCCCCGCCCCTCTTGAGCCGCCACAAAAACGGCCGGACCGTTCAGGGTGTTCTCCCCTTCAAGCGTTATGACGCACAGAGCCCGTTGCTTGCGACCGAGGGTGGCCTGCGTCGACTCGGTATTGTGCCTCGCCTTAGTGTCGAGCCAATGCACGTCTTAATCTTGCCGCAGAGACAATGCGTTACGTGGAACACCGCAACTCCCCCCCCCCCCCGCTTTATCCTCCTTTTATTTTGCACCAAAGGCATTCACAAAAGGTCAGCGTACCACATCATATTTTTTTTATTATTATTTGTAAAATGCCATGCAACTGCACGAACAGCCGCGCATCATCACTGGCCAAGAGACCAGTTCCCCTACAACACTGCCACATTACACAACTGCCACGATAAAAAAAAAAACTGCTCACAATTTGGCCACAATATTAACACAGCAAAGCTTTACGTCAGTTAAATATGTGTGTGTGCGTGCGTGCACGTTCTGTGAGTGAATAAAAACATAAGAAAATACTGTACTGTAGAATGGCATTGTTCTGCCTTGTAAAGAGGAAATGGAGACATTGACAAATCTGCGTTGATTTTGTTGCAGAGCCAAGTCGGGCCAAGAGAGAAATGAGATGCTTTATTTATTTATTAAGAAACGCATTTATTTAAGCAACACGTTCTCTAGATGAGACAGAAACAATGTCATTTACTGTATAAATATACAACATATTTACACATGCTACGATTTGCATTGAACATGAAGAATTCTTTTTTTTCTGAGCAGCACAAACCCATCGACATGTTGATTACCACCAACTGGAATAAATGGCGTAAATGCTTTAATTTGGGGCACCTTTGTAAGGCTATGCTTGCACCTGTTTGGTTATGTAAGCGACCTTGACATTGTAGGCCAGCGGCAATAATAGACCATGATTTATATTCACGTGGCACCAAATGCCAGAGCATGTCGAGGCACTACAGATACATCTTTTGAACTCTTAGAGAATCGACAAAAATAGGTTTCAATTTGTTGCAGTTGGCATTTCCATTCAACATTCAGACCCTGACGACTCTCGTGTAGCATTTAAAGGCTGCCTGTCAGCCGGCACTTGACTGCGAGTTGCGTACAACAAGCACCCGTGGCTAATTTAGCACAACCTGGTGTGATGTGATTCTGACCCGTGTCCATCAGTATGACTCGTCACTTCCATTTGTTCAGGAAGGGTAAACTTCGGAGCTTGCGGGTCTTCTCGGCCCGTTTTTCTACATCAACCGAATTGTCAGGGCTCACTTTGATAGTCGAGCACCTACTGTATGAATGCCGGCGCGGCGCACGAGGGAGGAGGGGGCAACGCCACGCCCGGCCGGAGGAAGTCTCCCCAGTGGGGAAGTTTACACACCACACTGTGTACTCATTTGAGGCTGAGTCGACCTAGGGGAGGCCCATGACCGGTTCAGATAATCGTCACTGGCGTTGGCCGCGAGTGGGAATCAAACTGTGGTCGCCGGGTTCGTAGCGCAGCGCGCTAAACGCTACGCTAGCGCTCTCCATGAAATCGGATGAGTATTTTCACATGCATCTGCCGGATCTTTGAACTTGAGGTAGTCGGCGTGTAACGATTTGCCTCCTCGGTGATTTTGGGTTACGATTCAATGCAAGCATTTCTTTTTTTGCCCAAGTCTTTTTTGCCATGTGGTTTCCATTTTTATTTTTTTAAACGTGTTTGCACAGTCGTTCATTAGTTCTATTAGCCTAAATGCAACATTACCATAAAATTAGAATATAATTTGCATGAGATGCAATTTCCTAATTTAATGCATTTAACGAGGGCCTAAGAATATATTTGAATCCATTAATCACTGAATTTATTGCACGCCTAAAAATTACATTGTTTTACACTGCAGAAGTACGCGTTTACCAATATCTGCCTCGTGAAGAAGAAGTTATTGTAAATATTGTCAAAATAAAAATGCAGCCTTGCAAATGTAACTTTAAACCACGTGTTTGTTTATGTCCAAGCTGCCAAGCACGTAGTGTACATGTACATTCATACACACAGACAGGCGCGTGTGATTACAGGCACATCCACATTGGACAGTCAAAACATTTTGGGGACAAGATAATGTATTAATAATAGCCTCGGCTGCAAAATAAAGTGTTGGACTCTCTTATTTCCACACACTGTGATTTGTGCAGTAAACATCATGCACTGCTGCCACATTACATCCATAACACTTGAATGGGATCACAAAGGTGGAACGCGCAGCAACAAGTACTTCAACAAAAATAATAACCGAAACATTATCCATAAACCGGCACGTATATTTTAATTCCCAACTTTATAAACAAAATTGACCGGCGGTCGCAAGATGTCCCCCCAACGTATCGCTCCGCTGTCTCAGTGGCTAATGTCGGCCGTGACAAGTCACTTCAATAACATTCCGACCAAACGCGCTCGCATGCTATCACGTCGGTAGTTTTTTTTTTAAGAGCTGAGCAGCGAATAATTTCAGGGGCTGTGCAATTTTCGGAACCGTTGGGAAAAGGTCAGAGCAGCGTTAGCAGCTGCCTCATGGAGCGATTTAAGCGAGTATAAAATGGCCCCCGAAACCTGTTGCAGATGACAAGACAAGGATTTGATACAATTGTTGGTCTGCCCAATTTATGAAGTGCTCACATCTATAAAGCTCAGTGGTTGTGTAATTATTGCGGGGATAGAACTCGTGCCGAACTCTTTCAAATCGCTTCACGCAGCCACTGGACGCACATTTCTGCCAGCCGCGACCTTTATTATTATTATTGAAACATGAACTACAAAATGCTCGAAATTTCACACGTTCTTTTCGGCAAGATAAAATTATTCCTTAAAGTTGTACAAGATGTATAATGTTCTAGATATGTGAAAAAATATTAATGATATTAATTTACAGCCCTTTGTCAATCCACTGCTGGGTGAAAATCTCCCTACACCGTATAAGTCATGGAGTTTTTTTTACCATACTTCACCATTCTGGTTAGTGTGGGCTTGCGAAGGAGGGCACCCCAAGAACTGATCAGACAACACTCACCGCTGATATTGTCCAAAGGCAGAAATACAACTCAGGCCGCTGGGCTATTAGCACAATGTGCTAAACCACTGCACCAGCCCCCATTCCCCCTTCCCCACCTCCACCGATATGCGTATATATAATGACTTACTAATGAATTGTATTTTTTTTATTGTGGGTCATAAATAGCCTCATGTGCAAAACATCTGTTATTTTGCAAAACATGTCATTCGCACAATGCTGCTCGTATTATATAAATGGCCTATGGGCTATATTCATACTTACATACATTACATTAGGAGACTGCTTCAGACGCTGCGGTGCTTTTCTGATCAGAAACAAAGATCAAACACCACGTCGTTAAAGTGCATCGTGATATATTTTGGAGAAGAAGAAAAACGACATCCCCCACCCCCCCCCCCCCCCCCCCCCCCCCCCCCCCCCACCGCGAGTACCGTACGGCAGTCGGTGTGGCTACGCATTATATCGCATTAATACCACAGCCCGTCATATCTTGGGGAAATTCCTTCATATCTGCGCAGGACCTGCTCCGCCGCAGGAATGGTAATTGAAAGCAAGCAGCCAGTGACCAAGCCACAATTAGATTTGGCCACATATTGAGTCCGCGCACGCGTGAATGTAGAGCATGTAAAATGTATGTTTGATAACCACTTGTGGGCGGCTGTGGTATAACTTCATGCGCATCCATTATGCTCGAATGATGTGACCCGAATCGCAATGTTGCAGTTTCAGCTCCGATACGGACGCGCAAAAAGACGAAGATCCCCCGTTTAACCTTAACAGGCTGTTTCGACAAGTGCTGTTCACGAGCACGTGTGAAGGCCGTAACGGTACACGAGGGGGTGGGTGGCCAGCACCACGCCCGACCGCCTTTGTCTTCCCATTGGCAATGTTTTTACGCACCGTGCCAACGTACTCATTTGAGGCTGAGTCGACTGAGGGGAGGCCCAGGACTGGTTCAGATAATTACCACCGGTGTTGGCCGTGAGTGGAAATCGAACTGAGGTCGCCAGGTTCGTAGCGCAGCGTGTTAACCGCTGCACAACCACTCCCCACAAGCACGCACGCACGGACACGCCACTCTGCTCCTTCAAAGGTGGAGAATTTTCACCTGCAGTGTAGCGGGTTACCACTAAATTCCAGGAAAAGATACACAGGTATGCCGAATATGTTTTTGTTATGCCAAAACCTGTATATACAGTACAATCTCCGGGATAGCCGAAACAGCTACATTATAATGTAGACATACACATTAAACGTTATCACACGTTTTCCGATAATCTATCACCCCGATCGTGTGCTGTAAACGCTTGGAAATCGACCGTAAGACACAATAAATTACATTTCGTGGTCCAAGGTGAAGGCGCGGTGCTCTGCGTATGGCCCCTCTTCAAAGTCCATCGTCATCCAGCGTTACACTGAACGCCAGCTACACGCAGTACACCGCAGGGACATTGAACCTCGACCTCCACAGCTCCGTGTGACGGTCGGCCAGCCGTCCGGCCGGGCCCACTTTTGTCGGACCGAACGGTGCCGTGCACTCCAGGCCACCCTCAGTAAATCGTGTTCCCGACCGATGCCACGGCCGGCAGTGGCTCGGCGCGTTCCGTGCAGGACCGGTAGGTCCCGGTCAGGTACGTGGTGGTGGAGCAGGCCGACACGGCCACGTCCCGGCAACCCACGTACACACCCGGGCGCGTGTGAGTGCGCGCGAGCTGCGACTGAGTCCTACTCCCCAGATGCAGCTGCTGCTGCTGCTGGACATGATTACGGTTGGGGTGGAGGTGCTGCGGGTGGAGGTTGCGGCGTGACGTGCACGCCACTCCAACGTTGCGCTGCTGCTGCTGCTTGGACTGCCGCCGCCCCTTCTCGTCCCCGTCCATGGGCTGAAGCTGGATGACGGCCTGCAGGTCGTCGACTTCGGGCTCGGGCCGGCAGGTGCCCGAGAAGGGTCGCAGGTGGCAGGTGTGCGTGGTGGCGGTGGGCGGCGAGGAAGGGGGGCGCCAGAAGACCTGGCGGAGCGCCTGGCGGTAGTCGCGCCGCAGCAGGCAGTAGAGCAGCGGGTTGAGGCAGCTGTTGGCGTGCGCCAGGCACACGGTGACGGGGAACACGTACACGTGCGCCGTGTAGAAGGCGTCTCCGAAGGGCACGGCGCCAAGCTTGACGAAGATGCCCCAGAGGGTGATGGCGTGGTTGGGCAGCCAGCACACGAAGAAGGACAGCACCACGACGGTGACGGAGCGCGTGACGCGCGACCGCCGGCCGGTCCGCTGGGCCCCCGCGGGGTTTTTGTGCCGCAGGAACCGCAGCAGCTGCAGGTAGCACGCCGAGATGATGACCAGGGGCAGCAGGAAGCCGAGCAGGATCTTCTGCACGTGGTATACGCCCAGCCAGAACTGGCCCTCGGGGAAGCGCAGCAGGCAGAGCGGCACGCCCGACACCGTGGGTGCCGTGGAGAACACGGCGGTGGGCACGCTGGCCGCGGAGGCCGCCAGCCACACGACGAGGCTGATCCAGCGCGGGGAGCAGCCGGTGGGGCGCGGCCGCGAGTGCACCGCCGAGGCGATGGCCCAGTAGCGCACGACGCTCATGGCCGTGAGGAAGGAGACGCTGGCGTACATGTTGAGCACGGTGAGCGAGGAGACGAGGCGGCAGAGCACGTCGCCGAAGGGCCAGTTGAAGTCGAGCGCCGTCTCGACGGCCCAGAAGGGCAGCACGAGCACAAACTGAAAGTCGGTGATGGCCAGGTTGACGACGAAGTAGTTGATTGTGGACTTCTTGCGCGCCTGTTTGTTGCGCATCACGTAGAAGACGAGCAGGTTGCCCACGAGCCCCACGGCGCACACGACGGAGTAGACCAGCGAGATGATGATGCGCAGAGCCGGCGACCCGTCGACGGGCACCTCGGACTCGAACTCGTCGCTGCAGTTGTCGGGCGGGCGGTATCCGAGCGACGCGTTGCTGCCGTTGGCGCCGTCGAGGGTCGCCGAGGGAAGCTCCCGGCACAGCGAGATGAGTAGGGACCTTGGCAGCGGGGGTTCGGTGACCGCGCTCATCTCGGGCCCTGAGGTCACGCTCATTCTCTCCACCTCGCTGCGCCGGTGCTTTAATTGGAGCACGCGGAGCAGCTTTCATGCAATCAGGTACGAAAATATCCCCCCACGCGACTGGCAAGAGACAACCCTGGCAGCGGCCGCCTGTGGAACAGCACGAGAGGGAATGGTTGAGCAACAGAGACATATCATGCGGGCCCTGAGAGTATCCCCGAATATATTTTTTTCTTTTGCTTTGTGCGATATTGTTTTTGGAGCGTGAGATTTGTTCTGGAACGTCCTTCGGAGTATATGACGAATGTTTTTGCCTGGCGGAATAAAAAACAGACCATGATCTGAACGAGATGTGACATTCCCCATGCGAGCTCTGTGTTCATCCAACATCTGCTTAATCTTCTGTGCCATGCTGGGGTTTTTTTGTTCTTGTTATATTACACATACACAGTAGACAGCTACATTTGAATGTAATATTTTAATCGCTTTCTTAAATCTCCGAAAGCTTATTGCAGTCTGTAGCGGATTTTAACCATATTAATAACAACTTTACATCACAATAGTAAGAACTTGGAGTTTAATTGCTTATGAAGAGCTTTAATTCCAGCTCCCCCACATTGAAGTTGACAATTTGTTCCGAAACAAATTCTGAGACATGTTGCCACCTTGTAATATTTAGCAGCACTGAAATTGCAATTTAGAGGTGGCCGGTTCAGTTCAATCCCCCAGCGTGGGGCCACGGTGGCTAGGGGATGTTAATCGCCTCGCCTGATATGGAGGAGGTCGTGGGTTCGATCCCGACCATGACGCCTGTACATTTGGAGTTTGCGTGTCTCTCTTCCCATGGTCGTGTGGAATTTTTTTCTCCGGGTCCTCCGGATTTCCCCTCCACATTCAGACGCATGCGTTTAGAGTATTTGGCTGCCCTACATTTTTACATGATAAGCCACTTTATTGGGCTATCAATTGTGGCCGGGTCGCTTCTGAAAAAGAGCTATATCATTCAGTCGGCCTTACCTGGTAAAATAAAAAAATAGCTTAGTTTGTCGTTTATTTGAAACGATAGTTAAATTTCCTAGAATTCCCCCGGGACTCTGTGTATTCGTGAGTGTAAATGGGTGCACAGCAATGGTACGGTCGCTTGTGGTGAGGTAAAGCGTGAGTATTCCCACGTTTTCTAGAAATTATAGCTAGCATGGAAGAGTAGGCCAAATACCCTCGAGAGCTCCCTCTCGTGGAGGCCCCTCCGCCAGCAGTAGCTTGAGCGAGCAATTACAGGGTCGCTCTTTTACCTATAATCGTGTGAATCCATCGGCAGCTGTGCATCAAATGCTTCACAAATCTTTGCCGTCTTTCGCAGCAAAATAGACTTCTCGTTCACGGCCAGATATTTCCCTTATTTTGATCTACATTCAGCATTTTCGATGCATTTTCAATGCTGAATGTAGATCAAATTAAAATGATTCAGAATGTATGTTTGTTGAACTTATTTTGTACCGTACATAGAGGTTGCACCTCCAATTAACACGGTTGGCTACGTACGGTGCGAAAGAAGTTCAAAATGCAACATACATACATAATCGGAGATGCGGGGGGAAGGACCACAAACTAAACACAAAAAGTAGTTCTAAAGAAATTTGCTTTCAATCTAAATTTCAAAGTGCATAGCTCCAGTGGTTTCCTAATATCGGAAGGAAGAGCGTTCCAGACGGTCGCAGAAGCGCATCTGAAGCGCGCGATGCGGTGACTGTATTTGTTCGATGGTTAGCCAAAAGCCGCTGCTGTGAGGATGACCGAACACACAATGTGTAAATCAATAATCTACGTAGATTATCTACGTGAGTTTACCGAAAGAGCCAAAGAGTATGAATTCCTGCAGTCACGAAAGCTTTAAACCAAGATCCAATGTTCTCCCATTAAAAACCAACACGCACAAAATATTTTTTTTATGGAAATGTTTTTTCCTCGACGTGAAAAACCACAATTTTATGGATTATGTCAGACATCTCAAATGTCTACACTTGGTGAGATGTAACAAAGGGTTCGCGAAAAAAATATTATGCGAGTGTGGAGCAAAATACCACGGGTTTTTTTTTCACATACGTACTGTATATCGCAGCTTTATCAGCAAAGAAACCCAAACAGTGCGTGGGTAAAAACAAGCTGTCTTCATTCGTACATTCTCAGCAGTGGCTAAGAAAGAGGTGAATTTGGACATTTCTTCAGCTAACCATGAATGGCTAAATTATTGCTTGCCAAAGCATTCAGAGGGCTTTTACCCTCAGATGTTATTTTTTCAAAGTATTGCCCTTTTTTGCTGATTTTATCTGCTTGTCAACGTTGACCAAATCACCTGGAATACGTTCAATCTCGTCAGATCTGAGTAGCTAAGCAGCGTTGAGCGTGGATCAGCGCTTGGAATGGGTGACCAACATATCCCAAAGGCAGGGGTTATATAGGTGTCATGAGCAGCAGAGGGCAGTTTTTTCTGCCCTGTCCCCGCCTACATCACCTCGCACTGACCAGCGTGGTGAAGTATGATGATATTATGCTAACAGCCCACAATGTGTGGGGATGCATTCATCCAGCAGTGGACTGACGTAAAACAAAAACAGGCTGGACGTGTACACATTTTGTTATCATTTAAATTCGGGTAGTGTTTTATCCTTGCTCCGTTTGTATCTATATGAGCATCTGGCTTGCCCCAATTAAATTACGCAAGCACATAAGCTGTGCCATTTGAACCACGTATATCGCAGAAATATATAAAATAATTTCACGCGATTAAAAATATCGTTCTGCTCACGGGTTAATTTTTTTGTTGAGTCTGTAAATATATATACCATACGTGTGTCAGCACGCAATATACGTTTAGTAAATCAAATCCGATGTATGTGAAAAATGACTCAAAAATAAGATCCGTCATTCAAAAATGGGTACACTATTTCACGATTAACTCACTCGCAGAAATAGCTATTTAACAAAACATCTACTCCTTGAGATATGACTGTCTGCAAAGAAAAACAATAACATCAATTTTATAGTGTGACAGGTAAAGCACATAATTATATAGATCGGCCAAAAACTTGTCTTATAATGGTTACACCAAAAACACCACTCACCTCGTGTCGGTGATCGATGCGGTGGTTACCCTTCAGATCAACCCGTCGCTGGTACGGGCAGCAAAGGGCTTTTCACAAACACTTCCTTGAGGGAAAAAAAGAAACCGATAACACCCCGAGGCTTAGCAACCAGAACAATTAGGCACGCGAATACCATGGATTTGAGCAGCGGAGGGATCTGCTTTTGCAGTAATTGGTAAACGCAACTGAAAAATGCATGCCTCGCCACTCAAACATTCGCAACAATTCCGATTTCTTCGCAATATTCTAAAGGACGTCGGGGTCTGTAAATTCGGACGCGCAGTTTTCCCAACAACAGCGCCGGAAGGCAGGCGGGCGGGCTTCGTGTAATTATTCAGCTCCCGTGGCGACTCCGTCGCGCGTCCATCCCTCGTTGCCTCGTGTCGCTCGGAAGGCGAAGAGAGAAAGGGGGAAGGGGCTCGGGGAGCCGATCGCTCGCTCGTCGCCTCGGTTGCTGTGGAGCTGCGCTTCGCGCTTCGCGTGCCTTTATAGGCGGCGGTCCGCGCGCCTCTGACGCCACCGCCGCCCTCGGTGTGTCCGAGCTGAAGTTCCCAAACGAGCTGCGCTGCTGCACCAGAGTACTCGCGCGTTCTCTTCATTTATTCAGAACGGCCAGTCACGCCGATTTCTGCCGTCTTCGTGCAGATTATAATTGGGGGTGGGTTTTTTTTTCTTCCGACCACACTTTTGAAAATTACGTAAAACGCAGTTGGTGATTTTTTTTTTATTCCATGAAACTTTAATCCTGCAGTTTTTCTGATTCAAGTTACTTGATTAAAGGCAAGTTTTATCGATGTTTTATTCCCCCCCTTGTCTGTTGCCATCAAGCTCATCCAGCGTGGGTGAAGTATGTTTTTATTTTATTTTCGACGGCCCACAAGGTGTGTGGAATTTCTTATCAAGCAGTGGATTGACAGAAACGCTGTAGATGTACATCTTAAAATAAATTGACCGGCAGACTAATTTTACTTTCAAAAGGTAAAGGTGTAACCCTGCAATTGCATGCTTACACAAATTGCAGTAAACGGGCTTATACTTAAGTGAGATCTAAGATAACTCCTTCTCATACATTAAATCCACGCTGGACAGATGTCTTGGGAGACAATGAAGTATCCAGACCTTACCCCGACACCTGCGACCTACTCTCTGCCGTGGGGTGGATAGACTTGGAGGGATTGAAGGAGACTCTCTCCCAAATACTACTCCAAAATTACCTGCCATTTCATCAGAGTTTATTTTTGGGCCGGTAAGAACTTACCTACATGGGTAATTAGAGGCCTACATAGGCAATTTTACAAGGTCAACCCGGTCAAGATGGCCATAAAAGTAAAACCGAGTAATGATCAATCATTAGATTACCACAGTGTGCTTCGTCCGTTGGAAAGGAGTGGCTTTTATAAGAATAGGTTTTTCCGCTTTTTTCTGGCAACAAAACTGAAACCTTTTTACAAGGAATAATGTCTACATTAACCACGATACTTGTGGTCAGAATGCAAACAAAAAACGAAGGACGCTTGTGTTGCGCCTGAAACGTCGTGATTCAATTTAGTTTTCATTTATTTGATTCTATTTCTTTTTTACCTACAGTACGTGACTTTACCGAAAAAAAAACAAAGAGTAGGAAAAACCTATTCTCATATTTTGGTACTGGCAAAGGAGGTCTCATGATGGAGTGGGATTTAGTTTGGGTTGTTTCTTAAGTAGCCATCAGTCATTGGTAAACTCCCATTTGAAAACCCGGTGGAAGGCTTACGCATGCATATGCTGTACACGGTAGCTGTACGTGGCAGGCTGCAGACTGGCAGTGCAGCAAAATTCACTGTTGCACTCTGCTTCTGTGCTCCAACTTCTACGCTTCCTGCTTTCAACAGCTCACACTGACCAGCGTGGGGAAGTATAGTCACATAACAGGCCTCGCTGCATGGGAAAGCCCTCATCTAGCATGGTGAAGTATGGTCAAATCACCCCCAAAAACCGCACGGTGTAGGGAGGCCATCATTCAACAGTGGATCGACAAAGGGCCGTACAGGTACGTATGTAGAAGTGTATTCATAACAACAACAACACGACACTCGAAGCAAATGGAAGGGGTCACTGTTCGCGAAACATGTCCAGGCAAGTAAGTGTGAAATCACCCTCCCCAGTTTAAACCTGTGTCCTTCGCGAGTCGGGCGGCCGGGTTTCTCGTTCTCGAATCTATTTGGCTGTACCCACGTGGCAGCTCGCACGAAAAGGGGGTAATCTGGGATCTGTGGACCACCAACCAGGGCCACACACCGGCTACGGTATCTCGCAGATAACGGCACCGCAGAACGGAGGCTTCACCTCGAGCGCACGGTCATACATACACATTGGATTATATCACTATAGAGGCAAGGTTGTAGATCATCGTCCTTTATTTAATCAGGTGAATGTATGTAAAGTGTTTCCGTCGTACTGCTTTTATCGTCACACGTAGCCACTTTCTAAGCAAGCACACTGAAACACAAGTGTAAGCCAATGGCCTGGTTCGCATTTCGGCAGTGTTTTATTTTCCGTGAGCTCCAACTACCTAAATGTAAGTTGCGAAATGTCGTCACCCGTAAATATGTATTTTCTAAATCGATTCTCTCGAGCACCATTCGAACAATGCATTTGCGAGAATAGAAATCAATGTCAACCTTCGAATCAATGCATCGTTAGCAAAGTATAGCTGCTGATATCGCACCAAGATGTCTAGTTTACCGTGCGTTGCCGATCACATAGACCCAGGTGGGATGAAAGGCAGATCGAACCCTGGGACTGGATTTGAACCCATAACCTTTGCGATCTCAAAATCGTCCGCTTTCTCCCCAATGAGAGAGAACCCGTGCGTAGAGCTCAGCTGAAGGTTGCTCGCGCTATTCGCGCGGGTAACGGGGTCACCCCTTTCTTTCATGAAGAGTGGAGATGTGTGTGTGTGTATGGGTCTCGCTGGGACTTCGGCACCGTTTAGCTTTTCATTTTGCGGGAACATGGTGGTTGGGGGTTTGGATGACGGTGTGAGCCCCCCTCTGGCTACGGATTTGTACGACGGGGCGCGAGCGTGCCGTGACAACAAAGACGATGAGAAATCTCGGGAACCGTTCGGGCAAAAATGTCATTCGTGCTATCACACTCTCAACGCTCGCTCCCATCACTGCCTCTCTCGCTCCCTCTCCCAGGGACAGACGCAGAAACCGATGCAAGTTTGGGTGAGCCCGGGGGACGTGTAGTTGTGGATTTTGGCCGCTGTGGGGAGCGGTAGTGTAGCGGTTAGCGCGCTATGAAACCCGGCGACACGGGTTCGATTCCCGCTCACGGCCAACACCAGTGACGATTATCTGAACCGGTCCTGGGCCTCCCATAGGTCGACTCAGCCACAAATTAGTACCTGGAGCGGTGTGTAAACATCGCCACTAGGGTGAATGTAGCATAAACTAGTGGGTGAAGGACCACGTGAACTCACAAACACTTAACATACATACACATAATTTGTTACAAACGGCATTTGATATGTGTATCATGAGCTTAAGAGTAGATATACGTTTGTGAAAAATGCATTGTTACACCTCTCGGACAGTATATGCATTACATACTCCCGTACATTTCCGTATATGCATCAATAACCAATAATCTTAATGTAATTCATTATTTCTTTAACACATATAGAAGAAGAAACACTTTCTTGACAATCGGGCCCACCACTGGCTATTTTACTAATCACACCAAATCACGTCTTTGTTAAGTAAAATAGTCGGGAGCGGTAGTGTAGCGGTTAGCGCCCTGCGCTACGAACCCGGTTACCCGAGTTCGATTCGCTCACGGCCAACACCCAGTGACGATTATCTGCACCAGTCCTGGGCCTCCTCTAGGTCGACTCAGCCTCAAATTAGTACCTGATGCGGTGTGTAAACATCACCTCTGGGGAGGCAAAGGTGGCCGGGCGTGAACCATGCCGGCCTTCATAGGTGCTCGCAAACAGCACTTGCCCCAACAGTCTGTTAAGGCTATACGGGGATCATTGTCTTTGGTTAGTAAAATATACGCTTGGCTCAAACGACGTGAAATTGGTACAATGGGTAAATTGCGTGACCTTTTGAATGTTCTCTCATTCACGAACGCTTCAAGTGAAAATGTTTACCATAGCCCCCACGGCGCAATCAGCCCACTCAACAACTGTTTGACGCACGCTGTTTATTAAAAGTGCCCCAGCAATTCGATTAGTGCGTGCAACTATCTCAAGATGCGTATGCCGCCTGGCGTTTATCTCTTCCGTGGTCTGCAAGCTCTTCAAGCGCACATGCATGTTGAACTTTTTTCGCACCGTACGTAGCCAACCATGCTAATCGGATGTGCAGAGGTGTCAGACTGTAAGCGATTAGCGCGCTGCGCTACGAAGCCGGCGATCCGAGTTCGAATCCCGCTCATGGCCCACCAGCACACCAGTGTCGATCATCTGAACCGGCCCTGGGCCAAGCGCGAGGTCGAGTACCTGGTGCGGTGTGTAAACATCGCCACGAGGCAGACAAAGGCGGCCGGGCGTGGTGCTGACCACCCACCCCGTTGTGTGCTGTGCCAGCCTCCAGGACTTGCCCCAAAAGTATTTAAGGCGTTACTTTGTCATGACTGAAGTTGCTATCGTGCCTCGTTGCTCTTTTTCGTGTTGTTTTTTTTGTGGTTGCACCCGATTCAAGAGCCGAATGGCTCACGGGGCTATACCGAAATAAATAAACTGAAACTGTTTGTTAACGTGCAATTACGGTCTGGCTAATGTCTATTTTAGACACTCTGAAGGTCCACCAAACGTCATTGAACGCCCGCATTGGTAAAACGTCCGAACAAACGCAGCCACATGACCGACGAGGTTTCAATCCCCCCCCCCCCCCTGCAAAATGTACCACCACCGCCACCACCACCACGTCCGCCCAGCAATGGCTCACGGCCTGGGTAATCACATTTGCAGGAGCAGCGGTGGAGGAGGAGGTGAGCCCAACGTGAAAGGGGCTCACAACCTCTCCCAATATCTCGTCGCAAAACACCGCCGCACGATATCTCCCGTGGCTTTTGTGGGGGTTGTGGCTGGGTAGGGGGATTTGGCGGTGAGGGGGGGGGGGGTCTTGGAGAACAGGATATTTTTCAGGCGGCCAAAGGGGAGAGGTGAGGGGGGGGGCAGCCGATCACCGGGTCCCCACTGCAATGCCACCAGGGGCGCGCTGCGCTAACCCTGTGACACCGCACGTCGGGAATGTGCGCGCTCCGTGCGTGCGTGCAGCGGCTGTTGGTCGGTGGGACGTTCGGGGTGAGGGATGGGGAGCGGTAGCTCAGCGGGTTAGCTGCTACGCTGCGCTGCGAACCCGGCGACCCGAGTTAGATTCTCCCTCACGGCCACCAACATCAGTGATTATTATCTGAAGCAGCCCTAGGCCTCCCCCGAGGTCGACCCAGCCTCAAATGAGCACCCGGTTCAGTGTGTAAAAAAACATTGCCAACTAGGAAGACAAGGGCGGCCGGGCGTTGTGCTGGCCACCCACCCCTCGTGTGACGTGCCAGCCTTCACAAGGTGCTCGCAAACAACACTTGCCCCAACAGTCTGTTAAGGCTTAAACCTGGTGAAGTTATGACATTCGCGTGCGCAGAATTGCAATATGTCCCACGTGCCTGACCAGCAGGTGGCCTCCTGCATTATGCACGCGATTCGAGCCTGCAAAGGGGCCCCTTTAAACTGAATGGACCGCCGTAGTGAAGCCCCGTTGATATCCATACATTCGCACGCATAATAATGATGTTGAGACGTTTCGCGTGGTGGACACTCTGGGACGTTTAACCAATGCAAGATAATGTTACGGGATATTTTTCTCTCTCTCTCACGAAACAATACCATCGAGGGACGTCTCCCAGGAATGCCGGGATCGTTTGTTTCAAATGCAAGCCGATGAATGGGTTTAGGATGTCAGTCGTTATATCTCAATTTATCCCCATAATTGTAACCTTCACTATCAGCGTGCTGTAATGCAGTGGGGACTAATGTGCTATGTAATAAATGGATACGGACACATTCGAGTCAGCTCGTATTGCGTTTTAAAGGACACGCACGATTCAGAACGGCTTTCTCTCTTTCAGGTTTGTCTAATATTTGTTCCCGAGAGTCCAGTGCTGTGTGTGCCTGCGCAGGTCCTTGGGCTGCCTTAGTATCGGTGTCAGACACGTCGCTAAGCTACTAACACGGTGATTACATTGCGGAGTATTAATATTTGCCGTACATTTGTAACACTCAGGGGTTATTTGTTCAATCAATCGGTGTCCTTGTATTTGGTACAATGGTCTGCGTATGGTCAGTGCTATGAATAGGCATCGGGAGCAACCGCCTTACCAAGT